TTGCCAGCTGGTTGCGGAGCACGCCGCAAATAGATACTGTCAGAGGTTGTTCGATTATCACGAAATAGTTCTCCGTTACACCTAAAAAAACATCTGTCATAAACTTAACCATGATTTGTCTATGGTAAAAAGCATGGCCTATACTTACCAAAAGTGTGCATGTACGCAGGATGCATCGTCCATCGAGGTTTCATACTACCAATAATATGAGCTCGCTCGAACATATCACCTGTAAAAAAAAGATTACTGACCTTTGATAAATGGATTATGCTAGACTATACAGCATAATATTCTGTTCCTATCTGATTTTCGCCATTTTGGTAGTGGTGAAGATTCGAACTTATGATAAAAAAAATAACTAACTCATTAAGAAAATGCAGTTTCCAACTAACCTGTCCAATTAGTATAGAGGTCAGTGCGTTATCATGATAAAAACATTCTACTTCAAATATCCAGGAATTATGTATTAATTAAACTTACCCTTTTCTGTGTAAGGAAATTTGACAACATCGTGACGTAATCTGCCTTTAACTATTGACATGCCAACGTTGATGACGTCACCTGAAAAATTAAACATCTTAAATTTATTTGAACAAACTTCGTCGGGGTTCTTAAGGCAGATTGCACACTGACCATTCGGCATGACGTGGGGATGTGACGTATGATTTACAACAGCAACGCACTTCATCATATCTTTCCTCTCTAATGTGTCTAGCGTTTTCGGGTCTATCCTAGAATTTAAAAAAAAAACATTATTCCAACTAACGTTATCAAAGACAATTATATCTGGAGGAAAACAGTGCCAAAACTTCGGAGAGTGGTTACGATTCTTATTTCAACTAGTAATGATTATTATTATTTGTATTTCTTGATATCAAAATAAATACAATTTGTATAGATTTAAAATCTTTAATTTTATACGCACCTGTGAATAAATGGACCTTCCGTAAAAGTGTATATTTCATCACCGAAAGGATACAAGGATATCATTGTATTGTCCGACAATTCTGCAGGCTTGAATATAGAAGCAACTCTGAAAAATAATTAGTAGTTCGTCTGAATTATTGTCAAAAATAAGACTATTATGTATGAAATAAGCAACATTTTAGCAGCATTTTTCTCATTTTTCTGACACTTTAAGGTAGAATGTTCCAAATAATAAATTGATTATCATATTGTTCCATTACATCTTAATTATTGATATATGATTACATTACACTACCTGTCAAAAATAGTGTGACAAGGGTCAGGCACCGCTTTCGTACCGAATTCAGTGACCACAATTCGATTCGCCGCGCGGTTCCTCTTGAACGTGTTGGTGCGCACGAACCTACATTGATACGTCACTGCTCCATCCAAGATTGAAAATCTGAAAGTTTGTTAAATTTAATATAGTGCATAAACGGTTCATATTTCCTACATACATCTTGACATTTACTATGTTTTAATAACACGTAAACGTTAGGTAAAGCCTAGCTAAGTTTAGCTAAATTTTCTAGGCAAAATAAGAAAGAAATGAAATTGATTTTAATAGTGTACTAATTATTTTTGACGTTGAGTGTAGATGCAGATTCATTGCGGCTGACCTTGTGTTGCATTCTGTAATTACAGCCGCAGGTGGCACGAGACCACACTTGAGGCAATTAGTACACAAACAGGTATCTAATAACATTTAATATACAGTAGGTAAATACGTAATTAGAAAAGCTTGTAATTAAAAATCACGTGACTTTGATATTAATTATAGCAATGTACGATTTAACATATTTTACAGATTCCTCTTATATTCTATTGTAGAGATTTATTTTTGTATTTAACTCAAATTGATGAAACCGTAGGTGGCATCACTATTTCACCTATTGTTTCATAAATTTCAAATCAGTAAATGGATCACTATCCATTAATCTTACTAATCTCATCTTACTAATCTTACTAATCTTACTAATATTATAAATGCGAAAGTTTAGATGGATAGATGGATGGATGTATGGATGGATAGATGGATGTTTGTTAGCGTTTGTAGCCTAAACGGCTGAACGGATCACCATGAAATTTGGTACAGGTTTAGAGCATAGTCTGGAAGAACACATAGGCTACTTTTTATCCCGGGAATAGTTACGGTTCCTGTGGGATTCATTAATTTAATTTTTTAATGTTTACTCGATCCTTCTGCAACGGTTCAACATATCTTATTGAAATTTGGCACAGATATAAAACAAAGTCTGGAGTACAAATGCGATAAGCTTCATCCCCGATAAGTGTCCGTTTCCCGAGGGATACGTAGCTTTTTGTAATTTATATAGTTCGTATGTTTTCTAATGCCACGCGGACGAAGTCGCGGGCAACAGCTCGTTTATTAATAGTCGTAACATGGATGTTTAGTTATTAGAGAGTAGGGTAATGTTACTCGCGTGTAAGTGAATATTTTTATGAACGAAACCACATGGGGTTTGTAAACCAAAGTTTTTGAAATGTTATATGCCATCCAGTAATGTTATTGATATTGTTAAAAGTAAAATTAGATTTGTGTTTTTTTTTAATGAATCGTTATTAATTACCGGTGTACAAGTGCTGAACTGTCAAACAAATGTTCGAAACGCATTGAACCCACATTCAAAGATCCTGGACCATTTCTTAGTAAACTACCTCGTAACCAGGTTGGCATTTTTCCTGAAAATAAAAAGATTCCTTTTCACTATATTAACATTAGCAGTTTCTTAGCTAATTATGTGTTCATTTTGGTTATCAAAATAAGTATTCTTGATTGTATATTGTAAATGACTTTATCAAACATTTGAAAGTTTGAATGTTTGAAACATTTGAAAAACACCTTTTCACCATTTTCATTAAAATCTCTACATCTATGTATTCAATGTACAAATATATATGACCTACCTGTGATCCTGCCTGGTAAGGGCTGCGTCACCTCCACATCACACGACCTCAGCCAGACACTGCTGTTACAATTAGGATACAATTTCTCACTGCTCTCCGCCATTTCTTAAAAAAATCCATGAAAACACTAAATCAAAAATGTATACATCACACATTGACCGTTAATATTTAAATAAAATCACGTCATGTCTATAAAACTTTAAACATATTAAGAATGTACGTGAAAATCTCCGATTGACTTCTTTCAAGGTTTAAAACGCAATTTTAACAATTCCTATAAAAAAACTTTTACTATTTTCATACATACTTTATACTCAATAATCAATGCACATGCTTTCATTAATTTTAACTAAACTTTAATTATTTTCACAGTTTTTCTCCAAGATATGTGAGCGGTGTCGCAGTACCGACTGAAATGGCTCTGAAACCGGGCGGCTAGGGGTAGGTACAGTCGCGAGCACCCCCCTATGACCTTCATAGTATCGTCGGAATAGACACGTGTTTATTTGTACTTGGTTTTAATTGAATTATTTTATTTTATTTTACGCTTTATACTAGTTAAATGTTAGTAAAAAATCGTTAATTAATAACTTAGCGGCTAAAATATTCTTGTTTTTATTTATTTTTATATAATTAAAAAAAAATAGAGAAATATAGCCTCGGCAAAACCATATAATTGATTTCTCCGGTGCGGTGAAACAATATTAAAATCCTCAGCACGGCATTTTCACATTTTCTTCACCAAAGTGATATTGGTTTCTATCTATGTATACACACTATAGATACTCTATATTTCAAAGCTCACGTGTATCGTGTTAAAATATTCAGCATTTTGATGGTTTTTCGCGTTTATATGGTTTCTTTACTTTATATGCATTTTAGAATAATTTACATATAGTTATGAACGTAAAGTTTCATGTTTCAAATCAGTCTTCTGAAATACTTTATTCGCGTTCATTTTTATTTAGTTAAGTACGAAATTTAATAAATCAAATAGTATTTTCGCATAAATGGCCACGAGTGTACCACATTAAGGCACTTGACATTGAAACATTGAGTAAGGGCAACGGTTCATTGAGACTCAAGTATTGAGTTAACAGCGATTTAAAATTACGCTAAAAATCAAACTAAAAAAATATAGCACAGCGATATCTATGTCTATTTCACTATTTCTGTTTTCCACATTAACTAATCTAAGTAACAAGTTACTGATTTAAAAATAATGGATGCAAACACCTGAGAGTGCATGAAGTTCCAAATATTTGTTGTTCTTTGTTTTGTTATTTATTTTCAGGTTCTTTTCTCAAGAAATGTTTCTTACATTTATTTGTAAATAAATATAAGAATCTACAAAAATCGCTATGCTCTTATAAATTACGCTGGATGAAAATTAAATCCAGTGGGATTATCCGGCTGAGGGGTGAGTGCTGGTCCTCGTGACCTCGCGGGCGGCTGCGGATCGCGGCAAGGCCAACGATCAAGTTCAAAATGCAAACGTTAGTAATTTAACGAGAAATCGTACCGGAATATATTATTCGTATATGTAACGAGTAAGTAAATTTTGCATTCGATGTATTATTTGTCGAATTATCCCAACCGTCACCCTGCACTGTCCTCACATGGAGACAAATGAGAATGATAAGTTTCATTCGTCCCACGTTTTGCGACAAGGGGACGGTTGAACTTATTTTATTTCATAACGGTTCCATCTGTCACCTTATTGGTGATAGTGGGACTAAAAGATGAGACGGATGAAACTTTTTATTCTCACGTGGGGACAGATCGGGGTGACGGATGGGAATAATCCTAGTTGTCGAGTTGATCATAAACTATGTATTAAAAAAATATTTTACTGGAGAACAAATGCACAAAAAAATTTTCAAGGTTTACATTGTCTGACGTCACTACGTTTGACCATTCGTTCGTGTTTTTGATGTGTTTCCGAACTACGTAACTTCAGTTTTAAGAAAAATAGGCCAATCTATATTAATTAATCTTTGGGTACTGACAAAATAAAAAGGTACTTCAAAAACTCGACATAAATAACTGGAATTGACGTTTAAAGACTTAGAGATCAAACGTGTTGAAGTGAATAATTATAGGTACTCAAGACAATTGGTTTGCAATAGAACTGTATGATACAATGATCCACATCCGATAGTCAATTTTTCATTTACTGATCACAAAGATTATCAGGTAGATTGTATCGACATTACTTGAATGTACACTAGCGTACGTTGTCGGTGTCCCTCCGTAAAACAGTAGTATAAACGTTTACAAAAACAATAATGTCGAATAGTAATCAACTTTAAATAATCTATACTCTAAACTATGATAAAGAGGAAAGATTTGTATTTTTTATGTATTCGATTCACGTAAAAACTATTGGTCCGATTTTAAAAATTAATCCACCGTTAGGAGGTTAATTTATCTAGTAAAAAAGACTATTTTTTATAACTTTTAATCACTCGGACGAATTCGCGAGCAACAGCTAGTCCTAAATAAAATGTTGTAATCAAAATGAAAAGACTCCCCCAAGAAAGCAGAGTTTGTATTTTTCAGTAACTGAAAGGACTGAAAACTGAAGGGACTGTACCTCTAGAACAGACCATCTACATTTACAATGCTCAAACAGTTTTTCTTTTAAATCAATGTTTTTTCAAAATATGTATTTTATTTGTTCTAAATCTAAATTAAATACGTTTTAATGCAGAGGGTGAACAACCCTGAATGTGACTATAAAAAACAAAGTCCGTAACACGAGACGTGAAAACGTGACCGTTTGTAAAGACCCGTGCCAAGGATATATACACGTGACCGAAAAATCCAACATTTGATCGATTGTCATACTTTATATGGGCTCTGATTTGCAAACACAATTATTTTGAAAGATGCCTAATTTTGAACAACTTTTTTAATTAATTACTAAACATTCTTCAAAAGTTCAAAACAATTCAATTTTCGGGACTATTCAATTCGTCAATTTATCGTCATTACGATATTATTTTTTGGACAAATAAAAGTATTTCTTATTAATTATATAGCAACTTCTTAATATTTGTCAATGTTATAATGTAAGTTGTAAATTATGATAACCGATTAGCATAGAAAAAGCTTATTATAACTTTCTAGAAATCTAACTATGAAACAAGAAATGGGACCAAAATCACATCTTTTTATACAATTTAATGAACACACACAGTTCTGTTTAGCACTCGATAAGTTTGTTTGTCTAAATAATAATCAATACGGAATAAAATGCTCGCGACACGACACTGAAAACTGGACGATGTCATTTGACCTCGAAATATTTTGAGCCGGTACAAATGTGGATGCATGGAATCACATAAAATTATTCAATCAAATTGAATTGAAAAGTGAAATGAATGCATGTATTTGAATACGCGATGCACTTTATATAATGCAATTAGTACAGATCCCGAGAGCTATAGAAAATTTTATATACACATGTTAGGTTGTGTTATTTGGTTTTTTAATTAGTTCTGGTCGAATTTATGGTATGAAAAAAATTCAATCAGAGAATAAAAGATAACATAAAAGTTAGCGAGCAAGCTTAATAAAATTTCTAGTTGTATGTTTAATGCCTGATTGAGTTACATTGTGTGACGTCATTCAATATAAAAGTCGTACGTAGTAGACATCGACTAAATTCTTCTGACTGTGAGTTTATCGACACTGTTGTTATCTCTGTCGTATCAAAGGGAAAGATAGGGATGACATGATTTTATAACCAAATCTACAATAATACATAATTTAAAACACGTGTTCAGGTTTGTCGACAACTCCCCTCCAATTAACACAGGCCGTGTCCCGAGCAATTCTGCTCTGTAGTCAGTTAACACGTGACGTCATAAGGCTATCGGCAAACCTGAGTACGAGATTATTACAAAATGTTTACTCACATGATTCCTTTATCACATAACGTGGAAGGATTTTATTTAATAATGGCCAAAAATTATTTAATAACTCATGGTTATCAAGACACTCAAAGTATAAAACTGAACTTTCGAAACGTGTTTACGAATTTGCCTTTTATAAATATACGTATAAAGTTATAGGTAAATTAGTTACTTCCCGGATTATTTGTCTCGTTTGAACATAAACAAAATTAAAAAATGAGAATTGCGTTTACGTTATTGTATTCAACTTTTTGCATTCAATTCAGTTGTGGTATGTTGAATTAGTGAGTAAATCGTATGACATTAATAACAAGGATTATTAATTTTTACTTGAATTCCCTTCCTATCTTGTTTTTGATAGCTATTGAGGTCCGTAACGTAAAAATATTTTTCTCTAAGGCTTTATATTGAAAATTGTATTAGAAAACATACATAAATATTAATTTACGAATAGTAAATAAGAAAACAATGTTTTAAATATTTATTTATTGTGATCTCATGCAAAAATGTTTACACATTAGCCTCATACACTAATAGGGAAAATTGTTAATTTCGTTGACTAGATGGACTTAACTACTTGGTACTTAATTATACAATTTAAAATATATGTTCGCACATGTGAAATAAAAAAAATCATCATAAAAAAATAGAAAACTCTAAACATTTACTTAATCTATAAAATAACTCGACTACTCGGGAAATCGGTCAAATTTCCCATAAGATTACTAGTCAAGTTAAAAAGACACTGAAATCAAAATCCAACGGTGACAACTTCAGACACGATCTGCCAAAAACCAGCCGTGAATACACTTCGGTGCTGGCGAAGGAGTGTCGAACGTAACACGACCAACTTCTAACATCGTCCTCGCATCCAGCAATAACAAACTAATTCTGCATATATGTGAACCCCAGAGAAGAGCACATAGAAGAATACCCGCATCTTCTTCCTGTTAAACATAAATAGTTTTAACATGATTTCAAAAGATAAAGGAAATCCAATACAAGTAACACACGTTAGGTTTATTATTTTAATTTTGGACGACGGTTTAGACCTTACTTGTATGACCCTAGCGTATGTATGACAAAACTAATTATAGCATGTTACTATACTACACACATTTGTGTGTGACCATAACAAGGAGAATACTAGAAGTCCAGCTAAAGCACTTACAACCTGATAAATTATTTCATTAATGCCTCCGAAAATAATTGCTCTTTATTTTTCACAGAGCACAAAAAATGGGACCTTAAAGTTTCTGCGTAAAAAACAATAAATTACTTGTGCGTTAGGTTCTGGTACAAACACAGGTTCACTAGCGAAACTGTCCTCTTCAAACCACGCCTTGTATTCTCCAGTCCATGTGTCCACTTTGATTATCTGAATAATAAATTTGTATATCTGTATGAATAAAGGAATCTAAAAATAAAATCCAAATACGAATTTAAATGTAAAACGTTTTTATTTTTACACTTACCGCTCCAGGATTACTGTGGTCGATATCCGAACTTATTGCATAGAAATATCGGTACAGACGTCCTGTAACAAACATACTTTAGTAAAAGGCGCAGAACATCGCACGACTCACTTAGGTAAGGGCGTAAAATTGGGCGTTGTATTGGGAAGAAGACATGGCACCTCGCAGAACGCCTTTTCCAAGATATTTGAAAAAAACATCGATCGATCGATTCCATGTCGATGAAACCCAAATGCTTTTAACTCAAACAATCTTGTATAACATTTACAATTTACAAGCTACTAGAATTGCTAACAAGTACAATTTAATGGGTAAAAACTATTTGATCATTTGTTTACTTCGTCCAGACCTAACAGGGAGTTGAAAAAAATAAGAGCGCATTAAAAACCCTTTACGAACTGAACCAAGCGAACTCTCTGTAAAACTAAACAAATAAACAAATAGACTCTGTGAACATACATTAACTTTACAGCGACAAAAGTTAAGCTATTACGATTTATATTAAAAACTAGGATAGGGACAAGCAAAAATGTACTTTTTTCATGTAGAACAAATCCGTAATCACTAGAGTATATTACTCTATTTAAATCAACACTAAGCTTTCCTTTGCACTAAGCACTAAGCCTTTATCTGCCCACTGTTGGACACCATTCCCAATGCCCACCACAGTATGTGGTAGTCATTCGCTTTCCGCATTTAACGCCTTCTTGCCATGTGTGTAAGTTGTCGTTCTAGCAAGAGGGAGGGTGCCCCATGGTCCTGGTAGTACTCTAGTTCTAGGGATTGACTCGTTACTTTATTCTATGTCTTGTTAGAGTAAACATATTAGTTAATATTGTTTTTGTCAGGAGAATAAGAAAGATGACATGCGTTTATACAGTGTAAGCCTACCATTATTCTTATCGTAATTTATTCTGGGCGTTTCACATCCGATGTCAGCCAGTAATTTGGCCTCCACAAATGACATGGTATCCGCTTCGAGTGGCATTTCAAGACGCTTCGGCCGCGCACGGAACCATTCCGCGCAGTCTGTGTTACTTTGTATCGTCTGGGGTATATTTAGAACACAATTGAATTACTTGGTTCCTTAGTTTTATTTATAAACGAGTAGTCGCCCGCAAACTTCCTTAGCGCAAATTTGAACACCTGTTACGCCATTTTGACAACGTGGAATTAAAAAAAAGTAGCTTACAATATGTCAGCTACCCTTCAGTTAAAGTCCGGTCGAAATCGGCCCAGCCGTTTCGAAGATTACCCGGAACAAACGCGGTTTGCGGACGAACAGACAGACAGACAAAACAAAATTAAATGCGATTTTCGTTATCAGCAACACAAATACATCCCGAAATCTGGAATTTTTCTTATGATATTACAAACAGACACTCCAATTCCATTACATGTATAGATTACATCAACACTTAAGGTCATTCTGACTGTAAAAGGACCTTGACTAATATCTATATTTACCTGCATCGCTTTGACATACATTCCACTCAATATTTTTGCATCTTTATAAGTACAGAGGTCGAGTACGAGGCTATGGTCATTCTCGAACGCGTTAATCACGTGGAAGTAAAACAGCGTCTCCGTGCGGTAACGTCGTACTTCTTCTCCAGTTTTACGACTTATTAATACTATATGCGTCTAAAATAATTGTTTTAAATGTATTAGTTACTTAAGATTACTTATAAATTGAAAATAACCAGTTTGCTAAATTAGATTACCCAAATTGACATACTTAGAATCTTTTGTCGCCTAAGAGTAGATTAAAGTAGCGAATCTGAGGTCCCCTTTATTTATCAATTAACTACTCAGATTGCTACAAATATTGTTAAATACCTCAACATCTGGATACCATTGTAGAGCAGAAGCAAAAGGTTTGTCTAAAAGTACATTTCGCATAACTGTGCCTAGAGATATCGTCATAGGTTGCTCGATTAACACGAAATAATTCTCTGTTATACCTAAAACGAGGAAAATCACAATTATTTGCACGTACAAAGAAAGAAAACAAAAAGCTAAAGAAAGGACATATTTATTTACCAGCATTTACGCAACTTCAACTATTAGCCGTTAGTATTCACTAGCTGTTGCTCGCGATTTCGTCCGCGTGAAGTTAAAAAATAATAAACAAAAAAGCCTATGTCATTCACAGATAAATTACCTTTCTAACGGTGAAAGAAATTTTAAAATCGACACAGTAGTTTTTGAGTTATTTCAATATATACAAAAATACAAATCCTTCCTCTTTATAATATTAGTATAGATAGTATAGATGTAGATTAACTAACATCAAAAATCAAACAAAAACATCGCCAATACATTAAAACCTGGCCATTTATAACATTAGTAAGATTACATTTCCTATAACATTTCCCAAACAAATACCATTTTGTGTCATTATTTTAGTTAACCCAATAATAAATGTATAATAATAAATAAATTTATATTTACCAAAAGAATGCATGTAGGCTGGGTGCATTTGCCAGCGCGGCTTCATACTGCCTACGATGCTAGCATTTTCAAACATGTTACCTGAAAAACAATCTACATAAAACTAGCGAAGTAACCATCAAGAATAAAAAACTATTTGCTTTCACTTACATTGACAAGGTATGCATCTAGCTTATTTAAATTAAAACTTGGAATAATTACAATTGTACCAACCTTTTGTTGAAAATGGGAAATGTATGACAACGTGTCTCATCCCCCAACTTGTGTACGACAAACCAATGTTGATAACATCACCTGAGAAAACATATAATAACTTTGTTTTACTATTGAAATTATACTAATCAAACTAATATTATAAATGTGAAAGTTTAGCTGGATGGATGGGTGTTTGTTAGTTTGTAAACTGCTGAACGGATGTCAAAGAAATTTGGCATACAAGAGGATAGTCTGGAAGAATACATAGGCTACTAGTTTTTTTCAATACCACGCGGACGGAGCCGCGGGCGAAAGCTACTATCTATATATAACATTAAAGTATGTAAAATCATAAAATTATACTCACCGTTTGGTAGAACATGTGGATGAGCCGAATGATTCACGATCGCGAGATCCTTAATTAAATCTTTTCTTTCTAAAGTATCTAGAGTTTTTGGATCTATCCTGAAACATACAATACAAAATTACAATTAAAATATTTTACAAAGACTAACTTTCGTCTAGAACTACGATTGCGTGGAATTGAAAAAACAAAACTAAGTAGCCTATGTGTTTCAGAATTTGCTCTACATCTCTGACAAATTTCATCGAGATCCGTTCACCAAAATGCGGCATAACTTATAATATTAAGATGACCACCAACAAGTTAGCAATATTTATGCAATTTCTATTTATTTACAGTTCATAGTACGTACCGATGTATGATGGGTGATTCCGTAAAAGTATATATTTCGTCGCCAATAGGATACACAGAGACTACTGTGTTGTCCGACAATTTTTCCAATGGTTTAAAAAATGCTGAAAACCTAAAAAACCAACATATTAATTCCGGGGCGAAATTAAATTGTAGAGTTGTTATAAGCAAGCTTAAG